ATCCAAATGAATATGTATATCCTTTACCCTCCTTTTGAATTGCTAAATAGGGGCACATACACTTGGAAGCGCAAGGTGTGCAAACTTTAGGAGTCGGATTTACAATGACAAGAGTATGAACAGAAACTTGGCCATTACCAGACAAAAGACATGCCCAAAGAACCTCGGATCTGGGGACAACAACTTGGCCCCTCTTGACCTTCAGACTCCCCATATCTTCGACAACAAATACTACACTAATCTCATCAACAAGGAGGGACTTCTTGACACTTGCCATGAGCTCTACACTGGTGGATACACCAATTCGCTGGTTGAAGAATACAGCAAAAATCAGACCAAGTTTGAATCTGATTTTATTGCAGCAATGATCAAGATGGGAAATATTAATGTCCTCACTGGATCCAAGGGTGAAGTCAGGAAGAATTGCAGACTCACTAATTACAAGTGACAATTTATTCTCACATGTTAGTGAAGTTTAAAATTATGGGAAATTACTTCTGAAATTATACCATCATACTTTGTTGCTTTAGATTGAGATTATATGATTATATTGAAGTTCCATGAACATTTCCCTCCCATTTCCCATCTATAAGATTATCTCTTTTATTATTATATAGTTAATTAATCTAAGGCTAGTTGCAAATCTGGGGTGAAAATATCATTTTCATGTGTAGAGTCACCCTATAGTGATCATATGGGAAAAAATAAGGTGAAGTAGCTTTTATTCTAGTCGCCACGTGTGATTTTTTGATCGGGAATTTGAATAAAATCTCAATTCGAAACATTTATGTATAGTTAAGGTACCGTTTTGATTCATTTAAGAGTTAAGGTACAAAAATGTAACATTACCAATAGTTAAGGTACCATTTATGCATTTTACTCATTCAAAGATCTTAGAGTGGGTTCATTGCACTCTAGGGTTGTGATAGTCAGCAACCCAACCCCTCAAGCAATGAAGTCGAACAAAGCATTTGAAAGATTGTAAATCACGGTGACTCAGACCTTGTATCTGTGCGATCGTGCGCACTACAAGTCCAGTATAAGATACAGGAGCAGTGACCTCCACATGATCGTTGCGGGTTTACATCGTTGGCCAATCATCTAACTTTACTACCACTCGACCAAGTAACTGAGTTACCTCTGCGGGTTAATTGGAATTAGTTTTTAAAAAATAAGGGAAAATAGTCTTAAATAGGACTAACCTAATCCCTTAATATACTAATAGGACTATGTTGTTTATCTTCCCAAAATAGGACTAAAATATAATCTATCTGCCTACTACACTAACTATAACTTAATAGGAAAAAAATCATATTTTTATTTGTAATAAAAACATAAAAAGTAATTTAAAATATTTTAATTTACAATAACATCGTAAAAAATATAAAATTCAAAAATACTTTTAAAAAATAATACAACAATAAAAATTTAAAAAAAAATACCCTATACTTTTTTATTACAAAATTAAAAATTTAAAAAAATAGATATAAAACATAAAACTTGTAAAAATGTATGGAGGCTTTTCCCGCAGCCTCTACCACCTCCCAGTAATGTCACCTTCGATAAATGAAAACAATGTTATTTTGTGTAAAAAAATGTCACTTTCTCTGGCATTGCATTTTTAATCTTTGAAAATGCTAAAGTTTTCTCTAAAATTGCCATCAAGATGGCATTACTGCCACATGATGTCATCTTTTCTAGTGGCCAGAGTTGGTGATGTTGGGAGGTTATTGAGGCGGCAGCAGAGGTTTGCACATTCTCTTTTTATTTCTTTTGTTTTTATTTTAAATTTTTATTTTTTCCATTTTTCAGTTGTATAATTTTTATTTTTCACATTAGCATGAAAGAGAGCAAAAAACCTAGTGGTCGTCTCTCATCTTTGTAGGGGTTGAGATTTTACACCGCCCTTATCAATATGGGACTGAAGTGACATATTATACTGATTTTAAGTGTTCTATCATTTGGGATTTGAGCTACATCGGAGGAAATAATGTTGGTGGACGAACAGATTGAGTCTGGGAGTTTGTGTCGGTGCTGGAACGTGCAGCCTTGGTCGGCTGCTCCGACAATGGCGGAGTTGGTATTCACCCATATTGCAAGAATTCGTCCTCGCCCGAAACCACCTTCGTAGCTGGAAGAGTTTTGTGAAAACCCTTTATTTCAATATTATTTTTGCTTTGATATTATTTTGTACTTCTTTTTGTTTTAGTCCGTGTAAGTTAAGTTTAGATGTTTGGATTTTTTTATTTCTTTTGATAGGCAGAGTTTCATTTCGATCGTTATAGGCTTAAATTTGCCCATTTCAACTTTAGCGAGTCAGGTTGCTTTGCATGAGGTGATTGACTCTATGTCTACTCTTAGAGTTCACAACTGGATCTGTAAATCACGTCTGAAGATTGTCTTGTATATGTTCTCTATTTTAATGTAAAAGCCGCTCTTTCATGATCATTTTTTCTAATTATTTTTGTTAATTTATTTTTATATATAGTTTAATGAAAAATATTGAAACATAAATATATTCACTATTCAGGTGCATTTTTAAATTAAAACATAAATTTAAATATCGCCATTTTAGCTGTAAAACTATAATGCTTACCATGAGTGGCTCCCACTGTATAAAGACAATGTACGATCGGAATATATTAGTGGTCAAGACAAACGTGATACTCCCTCCGTAACTTTAAAATCTTCCCATTTCAAAAGTAGGTAGATTAAGAATAATGAAAGATGATATGAATTATTGAGGGTATGATAGGAAAATAGTGGAATAATGTGGTGGAATGTAGGATAAATCCAAAAAAGTAGTTGTAATAGTGTAGTATTTTAAGAATAATTGAGGGTATGATGAGAAAATTTAGAAATGGGAAGATTTTTGTGTTACGGATGAAAAAGGAAAGTGAGAAGATTTTTAAGTTACGGAGTGAGTATGATATTTAAACTGCAACTCATTAAAAACCAAGGAAAGGTATGTACTCCTCTCTTGTTTATTAAGTCATCATAGTTTACCTTTTGCATTTACTCATTAGCCATTAAAAATGTGAAAAATTCAGGGCCTATTTACTAACAGAGATATTTTCCTGTTTTCTACTTCTGTTTTTCGTTCTACAGTTTTCTGTTTTTATTCTTCAGTTTTTCTATCTCTAATTTTCTGTTTCTATTTTTTAGTTTTTCATTTTCAAATCTGAAAACATGTTCATCAATTTTTTCACCCAGTTCTGTGATCATTCAGAAGACTGAGGACACGTTTACTTCACGGGTTACTAAATGGTGCTTATTAAGACCCGTGTTAATAAGCGGCACATAAAATAAGCAATGTTGTAAGATCATGTTTACTTCAAAAGGTTTAAAACACCATTTAATAATAAAATGTCCAAAATAATCTATACATGTATACACACAAAAACATTCATAAACACAAATATAAAATATAATATGTGCGGTGGATCACCTCGTACGTGTACCCATATCCCTAACCCCTACCCCGCCCCTATACCTCGTACCCCCACCCTACACCCTACACCCTATTCCACACCCTTGACTCCTACCCCTACCCTTACCACAATTTTACACTCTACCCATACTCCCCTACAACCCTTCATACCCACCCATACCTACTCGTAGGGGTCGGGGTCGAGGTGGGGGTGGGGTAAGGGGGTATGGTCAGGGTGCGGTGGTAAGGTCTAGAGGTAGGGGGTTGGGTGGGGGTAGTGGGTGGGTTAGGGTTGTGATTAGGGGTAAGGGTGGGGGTTAGTGGGTGTTGGGGTAAGGTAGGGGTAGGGTAGGGAGTTCGGGTAGGATGGCGGTAGGGTGGAGCCGGGATCAGGGTGGGGCCGAGATAAGGGTAGGGTGGGGTGGGTGTAGGATGGTGGTAGGGTGGGGCCGAGGTAGGGGGCATGTGGTAAGGAGTAAGGTAGAGGTAAGGGGTAATATACGAGGTGGTAAGGGGTGGCGGTAGGGTAGGGTGGATCGGGGTGGGGTCAAGGTAGGGGCATGTGGTAGGGGGTGGGGTAGGGTCATTGTAGGAAAAAGGGGTACGCGGGGTAGGGTTAGGGTGGGTAGGGTAGGGGTAAGGTACGAGAATGGAGGTACCAGAATGGAATCGACATTGGGGCGGGACCGGACCCACCACTAGGTGTAAGTATGCAAATTCATTGCAGCGGGACTGTAGCATCTGCGTTTTCCAAATTAGGAAAACTAGTAAAAGTCACTTCTCCAAATTATTAACGAAAAGAGAGACATGTATCATTTTTTCATTTTGGAAAACGATTTGTTAAACGCATTTTTCTGTTTTCCTTTCTTTAGTTTTCCAACAATTTTCTCTGGTAAACATGTTTCTTGTTTTCTGTTTTCCAGTTTTCCAATTTTCTGAAAAAATGGAAAATATCTCAGTTAGTAAACATGCCCTCATATTTCGAAACTTTAATTTAGAAAATTTTGACCAACAATCTTTTATGATTTTAATACATATTATACATTAGTACATGAAATACGGTCAAAGTAAGATGTGTGTTTGGTAAAAAGTATAAATTCTTTCCACTTTTAGGGAATGATGATTGTTTTACTCCGGATTGATTGTGTAAAAATTAAATGAGAAAGAATATGGACTTTTGTAGAAAAACATCAAGTCGTTATTGATGAGAAAAACATCAAGATGCTTTATCGGCTTCTACAAGTCGTTCCTATACTTCTCCTTCTATTGTACTCTTCCCTATATACCCCGTTTTTATGACAGAATTGAGCAAATGTTGTAGCACTATATAATAATAATACTCTGTAACTCCTTGAACACTTGAGTTTTGTCTATCTATTACATTGAAGTACTCGTAACAAACTAAATAGGGGTCCTTCACCCATCCTCATTCTTTCTTCTATATAGTAAGAAGATTGATGACTGATCAAGGGTTGTCGGAGGAGGAGTATGAACGGGGGTGGCGTGACAGTGAACGGGGGTGGCGTGCGGGTGAATGGGGGTGGCGTGCGGGTGAATGGGGGTGGCGTGCAGGTGAATGGGGGTGGCGTGCGGGAGAATTGGCACGACATGCGGGTGAACGAGCGGGACGTGAGGCTGAACGAGCAGGGCGTCGGGCTGAACGAGCAGGGCGTCGGGCTGAACGAGCAGCGCGTCAAGCTGAACGAGCAGCGCGTGAGCATGAACGGGGACAAAATATAAGTGGGCGGCGTCCAAGCATGGTGACATGGTTTCATAATGGTATACAACGGAGAAGAATCATTACCAATGGAGATTTTATCATAGATGATTCCAGAGCACTGGAATTACCAACTCATGATGATACATCCATTTCTCATGGAGAAGAGGATAGTGAAACTATTGAAGAGGGTTCTCCTCCAATCGCTAAAGTAGAAGAATACAGACGTTCTTGGTGGCATCTATGTAATATTCTATAATAACTTACATGTATATACCAAATATAGCCAAACATGGAAAAATAATGATGAATAATTGAATAATAATGTGCCAATATAATGCATTAGGCAGAACAATTAGTTGTAAATTTAAATAAGAAATCTCTTCATTCGCGTTCCTATAATTTTGTTGAAAGTTGTAACAGTTATAAAATTTAAAAACCACCATCTTCGATACCATGTTTAATTATAACGTTCCTCTGTATTTAACGATTACTTGTAACCAAGCATTCTAGCCTTGCTGGTTGTGAGGTTACTGTGCCTAGTGGGAGGTCTCGAATTCGAAACCCGTTAGGCACACAAGGGTTAGAAACTCAATGAAATGAGTTTCAACCCCTACTTGTAATTTTTAAGGGAGTTACAATATAATTTTATATCTGCATCAACTTGTTTGACATCCTTAACAACTGAATGACCAAGAACACAATTATTATCACATAATGACTAAACAATTATCAATTATGTGTAGAATGGTTAGGCCCAACTTCATTTGTACACAAGTGGTTAAATGAGTAAGAAAGCAGGGAGACGTTGGAAGACAAAAATCATATTCCTTTCTTTTAATTGAGAAAAGTGCATATACAAAGATATCAGAAACTGAAATAGAACCCAATTACCCAAAGAATCACAATATTCGATCAGTTCAAGAACCATTCATGCGTCTTCTTCATAAAGGCATTGTTTCGTTTACCCCTTCCTTAATTAACTTCCATTGTACGCTTTGCTATATGATATAAGTATATTTAAAGATTAAAGTAAGTAAATATATCCCAGAGCATTATATAAATCCATGGGTGGAGACTGGAGACAGGGGAGGGTGGATTGGGTATCTATAATCTTTAGCACTTGCACTTGTCTATATTCATAATCACCATCTTCTTTGAAGACTTAAAAGCTTCCTTCAATCTTTAGCACTTTCTTAGTGATGTACTTAGTATATACATATGTAGAAATATAATATTTATAAGTAGTAAAAAATACAGTGAAAATTAAGTCACAAACTATTAAGTCACAATCTACCTAAAAGTTAGACGCTTAGAGCCCGTTTTGTGATATGAAAATGATGTGTTTTTAGAACAATGTTCAGGAAGCTGTTTGACCCCTATCTTAAAAAATAAAACTTTTCATTTTTCGTCAGATATAACTTTATTCTGAAGTGTGAAAAAATAATGATCTTATGAAAATGCACTTCGTACAATATGATAAAAAAATGTATTTCCATTATGAAAGATGCAATCTTCTCCTAGAGAAGAACCAATGCGTAATCAGGGTTTCCATACTTAAGCAGGCATTAAGCATCAAATAAAACTAATGCTAAAAGCAAAGTATTATTCTTAAAGTATGTAGAGGCAAAGTGCACTCATAAGGCAAGAAAAAAAGTATATGTTCATTAAAACATACATGGAGGTAACTACATTTTATAAACCATTTTGATCATTGCTGAATGAAAAGATCATAAATATACCAAATCAATGATATTAATGGAATAAAGTGATGGAATTAATGTGGAAGTGATTAAATAAGGTGGCTTGGTATGGGAAGTGAGATGGTGTAACTATAACATAAATGAATTAGATTCCAAACTCAGTTAGATAATACAAAGTACGCTAAAGTATTTCAGTCAATTTAATGATTGATTGCAACTAATAAAGTACACTAAAGTATTTCAGCCAATTTAAACACGGTTGTATAATATAATGAAGAGAAAACTGTCAAATAGGTCCTCGAACTTTCATAAAAGGGTCAATTAAGTCCTTCTATAGACGGTTCTGTCCGGCCGTCGCGATTTGGGCAGTTCCCGGTGGAATTTTTTGATGAAATTTTTTTAGAATCTTATTCACCAAGTCTAGTTTTGTTGAGGAAAAAATTATGGTGTTCAATCCTGATAAATATCCTTGTATTTGTGTAGCTATTTTGTCTAGGTATTTTATCCCATTGGGATCTTTGTTAGCTATTATTAGACTAGCTTTATTAGGAAATGTGTAAAGTGTGTTATTGGGCCCAAATAATGAAAGAGCCCAATCATGCTTAGGTCACATCACACATTCCCTAGGCATATAAATATTGCCATTAAGGGAATGTGGAAAAAAAAAGCTTTTTGCAGAATATCCACGCACATTAGCGCATAGAGAGAAAGCCGATAGTTCCTTTCTCGATACCCATGTTCTGTACAATTCTCGATCATTGTTTGGTATTGAATCGGATAATCGTTTCTTCTCTACTCTATCTATATTGTTATTTTGATTGTTGAAAACAGGGACCAACAATTGGTATCAGAGCAGAGCGTGAAATCGATTGAAGAATTCTGCAATTTCGGATCTGTTATTGATGTTGAAGACTTGTTTCTCGATAGAATCAGACTTCATGCTATTTTTGTTTGATCAGCCTTGTTTGCACGCGATTATGTAATTTGTGGTAGATTTCGATCAATGTTGAGACTAAAAAGTCCGAAATCGCGTTTTGGGAATGCCTGTAATTACTATTCGCAGGTTCAGTGAAGAAGACAAGTTTCTCGATAGGTGAACATCGAAAACGATATTGTCGCAGATTTATCGAAAAAGGCCAAAAGTCGATAAATACTTTGCAGATTGTTCACAGGTTGATATCGAGCAATTTTTTTGAAGTTCTACAGTAAAGATTTTTTTCGCAGGGCTGGACATCGAAAAGCCGTTTTCGAGCTTCAGGGTTTCTCGAATTGCAGGCTTCTCGCAGGTCAATTTCAGGATATCTGCTTTCTCGAGGTTTCACAGTTGCTCGATAGGAACTTCTCGGTAGACACTTTCTCGATAGGAACTTTTCGACAGGGGTGCAGCCGTGCAGGTTCTCGAGGTTTTAGCGAAAACACTTCTCGAAGTACAGGTTGTCGAGGATCTATCGAGAAGTACTTCTCGATAAGCAACCTCGAAAACAGCTTCTCGAGGACAGGATCTCGATCGAAAGAGGAGCAAAATTATCTTTTGAGACCCGCTAAATTTTACGGCTATCGTGTCCGCAGGTCGCCCGCGCAGGGGGGGTGCGAATTTTCGATTTTGAACTGAAAGCCGGGATTCTTGTGTGCGCGAGAGCTCCCCTATTCTCCTTCACCTTTTAATATTAGGTATGGAGTGGTTCATATATAAAGGCTCAAAAGCTCCTTAAGAGTTTAGGTGTGGGAAAGTTAAAGAAGTTTACTTCTTCCTTTGCTTGAAAGTGTACACTTTTCCATCCAACTTTTTCAAGAGATAGTTTTGAGCCACTTTAAACTTCAAAGTCCAAAACTCCAACACCAAAGGTGAACCTTACAACCCAAGCTCCCAAGAGTCAACCTTGAGTTAAAAAAAAAAAAAAAAAAAACTCAAGGTTAAGACTATTTTTCTCAAGACCAAGCTACACTTCAAGGTTCAGAAAATTGCAGAAACTTCAATCAACCTCACGTCTACGGTCAATATTCAACAATCAACAATGGATGCCTCTAGCTCATCATCATTGTGTAAGAACAAATGCGCTGAAATTTCTCACAAGCTTGAGGCAAGCAAATCTGACAGTCAACAAATTATCAAGGAATTGGAAGAGAGATTAGCAAACAATCACAAAGTCTTGCTGAAGCATCTGTATAACAATGCCACACTCAACCTACAATTGGAAAATTCCAAGGAAAAGGTTAAGAAATTGACCCTGGAGACAGAAAAGCTAGGAAAAACAGTCACGGACCTAACTACGAGTTTGCGTGAAACTAAGACAGAGCTTAGCCAACAACGTCGTTTAAAAGAAGTTCTTCACGAACAAAGAAGTGCGCTTTACAGAAAAATCAAAGAACTTGAGGACTTGATTGCAAAAAGAGGTCAAACTGAACAAACCATTTTTCTAAATCAACCCAAGGACACTCGTTTCTATAATTCGAAAGAAGGACTTGGTCTGTCTAACCCATGCAACTTGAAGAAAGTTAAAAGTCGTCAACTTTATGACATCAGTTACATGGGTATCGGACTGACTAAGTTAATGTCCTTTACGGGAGCAAAAGAAACCGAGGAACTTGAGGATGATAAAAGAAAGAATAAAGCAAAAGCAGAAGTCCCTTTTGATTACTCAGCACTTAACAAGAGTTACAACACAAAAGAACCATCTTTTTCATCAGATGAAGACTTGATCTCTTATCCTCCTGAGAAGGAATCTGTGCCGGACTCTGAAACCCCTTCTATCTCACAGTCTACAAATGATGATGTTTATATTCCTCCTTTGATAAAGAAGATTGCAGACTTGCACACTTCTTTGGAAAATGAGAAGAAAAATTTTGAAACAGAAAGGGAAAGACTGTTGAGTGAAATCACCATTCTTAAAGAAAAATCTCAGTCTAGCACAGCTTCCTCCTCATCAGACAATACTTGTTCTCAAAAGATTTCTAATAATCAAAGCCATTGTTCTGAAAAGGTGTCCACTCACTCCGAGTCTCCTATCAAAGAAGGAAACAATGTAGGTAAGAGACCGGAAAGGAGAATGGAGTGGATACAAGAGAGGACAAAAAGGCAATCAGAAAAACAAAACACATTTTCAACAATGAAGAAGACCTGCTCTAGTGTTGTGTTTTATTCAAAGAACAGATGTAGCTCTGTCTCAAGTAAACAATCTCGTAGTTATGCTCTAGACTTTTCCTCTAAGCTTAATGTTACTAAGGCCTCTTCCGAACCTTCTTCTTCCGCGGATCATGATGGTGCTTCAGACTCAAGAGGTAGTGTTTCTAATTCTGATTCTTTCTCTGATGATTCTACTGTGAATGATGTTGTTCACAACTGTCAAAAGAAGCCAAAATCAGACAAAGAGACTCTTGAGGGTGTGTATACATTGCCATTTTTAAAGTATCCCCTCAGAGTCCGCTCACTTAAGCATTTGAAAAGGCTTTCGCAAGAAAAACTGTTAAAACCACATTTGACAGAACAACCATTCACAACAGTTAAAGTCTCTCCTAATCACATTTTTGAACAAAAATGGGTCCCAAAGTCAAAAGTTGTCAAAGTTATACCTCAAGGTGCTTCAAGAGCAACTGACTTAGGATCCAAAGTCAAACAAAAATTTCATAATTTCTTTTGCAATAATAAGGAAGGACCCATCTTGAGGTGGGTACCAAAATGCATTTAATCCGTTTTGCAGG